GTGAATAATCACTTGTAATAAGGTCTTCCTAACAGGCCTGAAAGTCACATGTAATAATGTCTTCCTATAATTTACACACGACAAGGTTCCCTCATTTGAAGTGTACAGTTCACTGTTTTCTTATGTATTTGCAAAGTTGTGCAAATTTTACATAATCTAATTTTAGAACATGTAGTAAGTTCTCAAGTCTGAACTTTTGTGTATCTTATTTGCGGAGACATAACATACTTAGAAAGACATTCATTAGAAGTGCCTTCCAAGTTGTTTGGTAAGAAGTCCATATATTTTCAGCATTCAACCAGTGGATTCCCCACAGCACCATATCCATATTTACAACCTGTTTAAAACACCAGTAGGAATAACTTTTTACTTATCCCAGTCAGTAAACACACCATGCTTTTGTAACCCCACTTACATATGACTCCATAATAAAAGTAAATTTCTCCTCACAGTTCTATAACTTGGCCACAGTTGTCTCCTATCAGGATCATCTTCTATTTTCTTTCTTTTTTTTTTTTTAAGATTTTATTTATTTATTTGACAGAGAGAGATCACAAGTAGACAGAGAGGCAGGCAGAGGGAGAAGGAGAAGCAGGCTCCCCGCTGAGCAGAGAGCCTTATGAGGGGCTCGATCCCAGGACCCTGAGATCATGACCTGAGCTGAAGGCAGAGGCTTAACCCACTGAGCCACACAGGTGCCCCAGATCATCTTCTATTTTCAAAACTACCTTTTTTCATGAAGTCAATCTTTTGCAAGCCAAATTGGAATTTATTGTGTGTCCTTAGTAGGATTCATTTTTCTGAGCTTCTCCTGTTTTTCTGTGAAGTATTATGTTCCTTAAAGGTGGGGTCCTAACATAAGATTACCACATTGTCCAGTGATCCCACTTCTGGTATATACCCAAAAGAACTGAAAATAGGGTTTCAAGGAGATATTTACATATTCATGTTCGTAGATGTATTATTCACAATAGCCAAATCTGGAAATAACCTAAGTGTCCATTGAGAGATGAAAAAATAAAATGTGGTGTACACATACAATGGACTACCTATTCAACCTTAAAAAGGAATGAAGTTCTGGGGCGCCTGGGTGGCTCAGTGGGTTAAGCCTCTGCCTTCGGCTCAGGTCATGATCTCAGGGTCCTGGGATCGAGCCCCGCATCGGGCTCTCTGCTTAGCAAGGAGCCTGCTTCCTCCTCTCTCTCTGCCTGCTTCTCTGCCTACTTGTGATCTCTGTCTCTCAAATAAATAAATAAAATAAAATCTTTAAAAAAAAAAAAGGAATGAAGTTCTGACACATTAGGTACAACATGGATGAACTTTAAAAACATGCCAAGAGAAATAGCCACTCACAAAAGGACAAATATTATATAATTCTACATACATACAGCACCCGGAGTAGTCAAATTCATAAAAAGTAGAATAATGGTTACCATGGCTTGGAGGTGGAGGATAATGGGGGTTATTGTTAAATGGGTATAGAGGTTCAGGGTGGGATGGTGAAAGTTCTGGAGATGGATGGTGGTGATGGATTCGCAATACAAATATACAGTTGTCTCTTGAACAAACTTGGGGGTTAAGAGTGCCAACCCCCAACACAGTCAAAAATACACATATAACTACCCAAAACCAGAAGCCTTGACCAGAAGTCTTACTGATAACACAGAGAGTCAATTAACACATATTTTGCATGTTACATGTAATATATATGCTATATTCTTACAATCAAGAAAGCTAGAGTAAAGAAAATATTATTAAGAAAATTGTAAGAGAAATTTATCTACAGTACTTTACTGGGGAATTGTGAGTATAACTGGACCTATGCAGCTCAAATCTATGTTGTTCAAGGGCCAACTTATTTAATGCCCCTGAACTGTACACCTAAATATGGTTAAAATGGCAAATTTTATGTTCTGTATATTTAACCACAATAAAAGACAAAGTGGGGTTATTTAAGGTTCAAGCATCTGAAATAGGAGGATAAATCAGAGCTGGCCTTTAGAATACACTATTTTCATTTTACTTTTCCCTTGTGGCAGATGTTATATAATTTACCAAAAAAATATATCTTTATTAGCATTTAGTTCTTGCAATAAAGGTATGACTTTTTGGAAGTTATATTCCCTTCCTCGTAGTTTGCCCCCATCAACTACTGAATAAAAATATTTCTAAAAATACACATATAAAAATGTCTCTTCTCTAATATTCAAATTATTATTTATACATTCACTTTCAGGTTTTGTGTGTAAGTATCATATGAGAAGCAGCATGTCTTATGGTTAAGAATGTGGGCTCCAGTGTTAAACTGTCCTGGTTCAAATCTTGACCCTACCATTCGTTCTGTAACTTGGCATTAGTACCCTAGTTACGTACCCTCTCCGTGTCTCTCTTTTCTCATATAGGAAGATAATACCTACCTCATAGAGTAGTCATGAGACTAAAATGAATAATATAAAGGGTTTAGAAAAGTACTTGGCACAAAGTACATAGCAAATTTCAAGAATGATCATTATTAGCACTTACAGAAAGGTTACATCAATAACTTGCTTATAAACATAAACATCTCTAATATATTCTAACATTCTAACATATTTTGCACTATTAAAGGAAAAAACTGACTGTGCACCTACCCTATATGTGATACTAGACTAGACTCAAACACTAAAGATTACTTGTATTACTTGTATTAATGTTTTGGCACACATAGTATTTCTGTATTCCCTGCATCATTCCATCAATCCACAATTTACTACTTTTTATCACAAGGAAACCACTCTCCTTTTACTCTAGGAAACTTATGGTGTGGGCTGTGATTTTAGATCTTTGGTTGTATTTCAGTGTTTAGTGACTACTGACACTCCGGTGGAATAATGCTGCTGGAAGGTATTATAGGCATGGTCCGCTTTTTGCTTTTTGCTACATGAATAGTGATTTACAATTTTTTCAAGTTACAATTAGTTGTTTAGAGTAACCCTCTAACTCTCCCACACTGCTCATGACTATTGCTTTAACTTGAGAAATCCTAATATCATGTAGAAGTGGAAACTATGTAACAATTCTGCCTTTCAAGAATTGTATGAACTGGTTATTATCCCCAGTGCAGATATGCCCTAGTCTTTAGACATTCTCCATACTGCTGGGATTTACCAACAGTAGAGAATTGAATCCTATGGCATACCATGATATACCATCTTGTTGATTTGACCTCACTACCAGTAGACACCTATGACTTTATTTCATTGTGAGAGTTATGCAACAATATTACCCTGTAAACTTGCCTAAGTCTGTAATCTTGCCTAACCAAACTGCGAAATCGTGAATTCTGAAGTAGGAGTACATCATGTGCTAGCCTAGCTCTCTTAGTTCTCATAGCCATAAAATAGACCTAACAGTAATAGTTCAGTGAGCACTTCAATCTTTACCATAATTCCATGCATCAAAAAATATTATTTTTCCCATTTGCAGACAAGGAAATTAGGCCTGATTAATTTCTTCAAGGTCACACTAAGCTGGGCCTAAAGCCCACGTCTGTCTGACATCAAAGTTGGTGTTATTAAACCATGATGTTGAATTTTCTCTTTCCTCTGAAATTTTTACCATTCTTTTGATCCTCAACTTTTAATATCTTTAGTGTATATTTTATGCACAATATCTACATTCTAACAGGGTTTTCTAAGAGATCGTAAGAGATGACTTTTTGTCTTCATGTTCTTATCTTTGTTTTTTTGCAAAGGGTTGCTTGCAATTGTGCGTGAGCTAAGATGCTGCTTGTATCTTACCAAGGAGAGAAAGGAGGGACCAGGAGGATGTGTTATTATAAAAACTTTAGACTCACCTATTAATCAGATTCATTTCAACAAGCTGTGCTCAGCCTGTTATAGTATTTTCTCATATATACATACCACCTCTTCAAACTGATAAAGTACTGAGACAACCAAAACTATTATGGCGTACTTCTTTGTATGTGGCTCTAACTTAGCCCTGGTGACTTGCAATGATAAATGTTTAAGAAATGTTGTGACTGGTCGGGAAGACTACAGTGGTCAATAAAGAACTGGTTAGTTTAAGATGGGACTTCAACACACGGCTAGAACTGTACATCTGAATAGGCGGATTAGAGAAAGCACTAACTAGCAAAGGGATCTAACATTACTAAAGGTTCATCCCTGAACTGAAGGCTTTATGGTCAATGTTCAGGAGTAACTCTTGAGACATTACCACGTGGCACTCTCCCTAACAGGGAATTTCATTAATTGAAATAGTGATGAAGAACAAAGAGCAAAAAGAAAGAGGGGTGCTGGAGTGGCTCAGTGGGTTAGAGCCTCTGCCTTGGGCTTAGGTTATGGTCTCCAGGTCCTGGAATCGAGCCCCGCATCTGGCTCTCTGCTCAGCGGGGAGCCTGCTTCCCTTCCTCCCTCTCTGCCTACTTGTGATCTCTCTGTCAAATAAATAAATGAAATCTTTATAAGAAAAAAAGAAAAGAAAAAGAGGAGAAAGTGAGTGGCTTGAGAGTCAGAAAACTTGAGTTTCTGTCATTTACTGAGTTGATCCAGCTTTTTTTTTTTTTTTTTTTTTTTTTTGATGGAGGTGTAGAAGACTCAAGGAACCTCCCAAATCCGTCTGCCTCTGTCTTTCCTGTTTACATACGGAATAATAAATATATTAGGGCAGGAGGTAAAAAAAAAACACTCCCTTGGTATTCTTCACACAACTGACCTCCAAGGGTTTCCAGCGGGATACTGGAAGGACTTGGGAGTTCACCTTGTTTTTTAAAGGACTCGCCCTTCTTTCTGGTTTCTCCCGTCTCCTACGGTGCACTGGAAATTAACACTCACTGTCCCTCTGCCACTGACTTCATCTACTCCTGCCTACAGGTGATGACCGGGGGACAGAGCGCAGTGGACTTAGGTGCTCTGGCCACCCGCCGCCTGTCCCAGCCCCCGGCCTCGCGTCCCGCGCGCCCCGCTCCCCGGAGATCCCCGCCCGCGCTGGGTATTCACCTACTGCACTCTCGGCAGCCGCCGCCACCGCCGCCTTCAACACGCGCGCCATTTTGGAAAGTGACCCACTGTACCCCCGGGTGCTTCACGCGGGGAAAGGAGCTCGGTCGAGGGGCGGGGTCCACGCGGCCGGGGGCGGGGCCTACGAGGCTAGGGGGTGTAGCGAGCGTTGCTGCGCGCCCGTGGTGCAGCGGGTGGGCTAGTTCTTATTTTACGTATTGAAGCCACCCAGTGCGTCTAAAGCAGAAACTTAAATGAAGGACACGTCACCCCTTTGGCCCCTCAGAGATACAAAATAGAAAGTTTAGAGAAAGTTCAAAGGCGCTAAAACTGACCAATGGCCCAGTGAAAGTTCTTGCGCTGCCATTGGCTCTGGCGGGGGGGGTGGGTCGGGAACCTGTACGCAGCGGAACCTTCGCCTCCCCGGTTCAGGTTGCGCGAGGAGCGTCTTTGTGGCGCGGTTTCCGGGCGGCCCTCTTCCTGTGCATGCGGCGCTGTGTCCCGGGTTGCAGACGGCGATGGCGCCGCCGGTCTGGCGTCGGCGGACCCTGGAGCGGTGCCTGAAGGAGGTAGATAAAGCCACTGGCCAGCCAGAGTGCTTTCTCACGTAAGTGAAGGGAACGCGGGCTCGAGCTGCGGCCCAGGTCTCGCGTGGGCGCGGCCTGCCGGCAGATGCTGGAGTAGAGGGATAAAGGGAAGCATGCATCTGTTTGCGCCAGGTTTCACGTTACGCTCCGCTAGCCCGTCAGAAAATTTTAAATGGTCACAGGCTGTGCAGTGCGGCTCTCCCAGTCGTGTGCTACCCAAACCAAGCTCAGTTATTAACGCCCAGAGGCTTCCACTGAGTCTTACGCGTCCCCCTACTCCTCTCCCACACAGTTGCGAGCCCACTAGATGGGTTGCTCTTTCCTCCAGCGGGCTCCGAAACCACCCAGTGCTTACTTACTCATCATACTTTATTGAAAGTAATAACTTTGTTGTCTGTCTACCCCCGTCCCACGATGAGCTGCTTGAGAATTAGGAGTTCGTAATATAAGCTCTTCGTATTTTGTTGAAGGACTTAACGTACGACTTAGGAAAGTGTGGCTCTCAGATACCCGACTTTTCCCTTGAGCTTCAGGCGCACAGTAGCTCCAGCCATATACGTTCTCAGCATCTCAAATTTCTTATGTCCAAAATGACCTGTTTCTGTCTACTGTCTTATATTCTACCCTCCCTGAAGTCCTTTCCACATGCACCTGCCTTCCCTATCTCAGTAAACGGCTCCTCTGTTTTTTGAGTCATTCAGACATGTAACTAAGCTTCTTCCTTGATAGCGTCCTTTTTCTCTGCTTCTAATTCATCAGCAAATTCTGTTGGTTGTGTCTTCAGTCTGTATTCTGAATTTGACTGCTTGTCACAGTTTCTGCTGTTCTAACCCCTGTACAGTTGTCATCCTTTCCCTGGATGACTGTGTCATCCTAATCACTGTACTTTCATTCCTTTTCCTCTGTTGGTCATCTTTCCAAAGTGTAAATTACATCATTTTGCTCCTTTGCTTAAAATCTTTATTTATTTATTTTAATTTTTTTAAAGATTTTATTTATTTATTTGACACACAGAGATCACAAGTAGGCAGAGACGCAGGCAGAGAGAGAGGAGGAAGCAGGCTCCCCGCCGAGCAGAGAGACCGATGCGGGCTCGATCCCAGGACCCTGGGATCATGACCTGAGCCGAAGGCAGAGGCTTTAGCCCACTGAGCCACCCAGGCGCCCCATCCTTTGCTTAAAATCTTTTGATGGTGGGGCACCTGGATGGCTCAGTGGGTTAAAGCCTCTGCCTTCAGCTCAGGTCATGACCCCAGGGTCCTGGGATTGAGCCCTGCAGGGGACTCTCTGCTAAGCAGGGAGCCGCCCCCTCCCACCATCTCTCTGCCTGCCTCTCTGCCTACTTGTGATCTCCGTCTGTCAAATAAATAAATAAAATCTTAAAAAAAAAAAATCTTCTGATGGCTTCTCTTTACACTTAAAACAGCAAACTCTTACCTCGGAGCCTGCATGTTACAGCTCCCATCTACCTCCTTGGCCTTCTGCCTCCTTCACCACACTCCAGCCATGCTTTCATTTCTGTTCCTCAAACTCACCGAGTTCATTTCCATCTTACAAAATTTGCTCTCGCTGTTTTTTCTGCTTGAAATAGATGTTTCCAGGTCTTTGTAAGAATGTCTCCTCGTATACAGGTCTCATTTCAGATGTCAGATCTTCAGAGGTATTCGCTGAGTACTCTTGAGCCAAAGCAAGTGTTAACCATTGGCTGACTGAATGGAGTGGCATGTAATATAGCTGAGTTGGCATTTAAGGCTAAGATTCACCATATATCTTTAGGCAAAGAGGTGTGTAATAGTTTCCCTGCATAAAATCCATATAGTAGATCACAGACTTAGTTGTATATTAATATGGCTCCTCAGCAAGCTAATACACTCTTTGGGGGCAGAATCTGTACTTAAAATTGATATTTCATTCAAGTTTGATTTTACACAGAAGTTAGGCTTTTTTTATCCTTTTAATTCATAGTGCTGTGAAATTATTGCCTATAATTATAAAGCTCTTTAAACTTCCTCCCTGTGCTCCCTTAATAGGATTCAAGATGAATTGGCATCAAACTTCACTTCGTTAACAAAAGTACTTTATGATTTTAATAAAATATTAGAGAATGACAGGATCCACGGAAGTCCATTAAAAAAACTGGTGATAGACAATTTTGATGATGAGCAGATTTGGCAACAACTAGAACTGCAAAATGAACCAATTTTACAGTACTTCCAGAGTGCAGTTAGTAAAACCGTTAAAGACGAAGACATCAGTCTTCTTCCAGAGAACGAAGAGCAGGAGTATGAAGAGGATGGCTCAGCAGTGGAGTCTGATGATCAGGAGGTCCTCAAACAAGATCTGGAGGAGGAGGAGGAGGTGGCTGACCTGAGTGGTGATGATCCTAAAGTGGATGAGAGAGCTAAAAACTTGAGCAAAGTTGGTCTGAGGAAAAGTCCAGTGTTCAGTGATGAGGATTCTGATCTTGATTTTGATATCAGCAAATTGGAGCAGCAGAGCAAGGTGCAAGACAAAATGTCTAGGAAACCAAGAGAGAAGTCCATAGTAGATGATAAATTTTTCAAACTATCTGAAATGGAGACCTTTTTAGAAAACATGGAAAAGGAAGAGGGACCAAAAGATGATGAGGAAGAGGAAGACATTAATTTTTTTGAAGATGTTGATTCTGATGAAGATGAGGGAGAACTGCTTGGAAGTCAAAAACCTCAGGTAAAGTGTTGGGAGAAGAGACTTTCTACCTCCTTAAATTAGATTTTGTTCCATTTCTTGAAAAGTGGTTTAAAATACCTCAAAACTCACCAGAGCATTAATGAAATATTTAGATCAGTTGAAAATGATGAACTAGATAAATTTAACCAAAGCCATCATTTCCTTATCACAGAATGCTTGTTTTGAACCTAAGAACCATAGTCACACATGTTAGAGGTCTTCAGAATTCCCCTCAAACATATTCCATCAAACACTAAAAATAATAGGGAGAGGAAGGCATTTGTATACTTTAGACAGGGATGTTTTAGAAATGATTATAGTTAGAAGCTTTAGAGTTAGGATGTTGTACTCTGTCTTACCAGTTACAAATGAACCTATGCTTCCTTCCAGTTTGTTACGGTCTAGTAGCCCTTACGTCTGTGTGGTGATGTTGTCCGTCACCAGTTCCCCATATATAATATGCATCCACATACATGCATGATTTAATGTGTTCTGTTCTTAATTGAAAGTTTGAAAAATCTTTTTACTTTAGTCAGGTAAAAGTTCCAGAAACCTGAAATACAAAGACTTCTTTGATCCAGTTGAAAGTGATGAAGACCTAACAAATGCTCATGATGATGAACTGGGTTCAGATGAAGAGGAGGAAGAAATTGCTGATGAAGAAGGAGAGGAAAGCATTTCTGAAATGTGAGTATTTTGAATCCTTTACACTGTAAGCTAGAATAGTCCAATTGTGTGTGTGTACTCATAGTTGTCAAATATGTTTGTCCTAAGAAGTTATATTCTCTAAGATCAGATAGTCAGAAGGTAGCCAGAAGAAAGTGTCTGAGTTTAAAGGGGCTTTAGAGATCATCTAATGAAGGTAAATATCACTGGCAGTGACAATCAAACTAAAAATACCTTACTGTCATTGTTGTGAGATACATTTGTCTTACAGATTGAGGAATAATTTATATTTTATATATTGCACGCTTTTGTTCTGTTTCACCTAAATAATATCTTCTGTTCCTTAGTAACGGAATGACTTTGGAATTCTGTGTTAGGTATACAACATATCTATAATTACTAGAGAATTGGTTTTGTTTTCCTAATGAAAAAGTGTATTATCGTTTCATAAATGTTTTGGTATACTATAGTGATGAAGACAATGAACTTGAAGAAAGTGAAGACAGCAAGCAACATAAAGAAACCTCGAAAAGAGTGACTTTTGCTTTGCCAGATGATGAGGAAAGTGAGGATACAAGTATCTTAAATGTACAGAAAGATTCTGATGAAGTTAAATCCTCTTTTGAAAAAAGACAGGAAAAGGTAAGAATTGAGAATTTAAGGAATTTTTTTTATGTTTACCAGGACTGTGGCACTCATAACTAATCTACTCTGTAGTTCTTGGTGGAATACTTTATCCTTTAAAAAACAAAACAAAAATCTTGCTGCTACTTCCTACCAGACACTGTATAGAGATGCCCAGGTGATAGGTAGCTAATTTGCAAAAATCAGTGCTGCATTCCCCAACCTGTGGCCTTCGATTTGTTTAAAAACCTGTGTTTTCCTCTGTCCCTGGTTTCTTTATACCTAATGGCATGTTCTTTTTAATTAGCTGCCCTGTGAACTTCTCTTTGTAGCTGTTTCAGCTGCTCATGAGGACACTGCTTCTTTCAGATATTCTGTAGCTGGCTCACGTAGTCGGAATGTTAATTAATGCCGTCTCAAACATATCTTCCAAAGTTGATAAAGATTATTTCCTTGTGATAGGATTTCAGACAAATCAAGTGTCATTTGCAAATAATAG